TCCTCCGTTATACTCCGACGATTGCGAGAGCATGGAGGCATCCGGTGTTGCGTAGGCGGATGCTCCGGTGTCCGGGAACCACGATCCGGCAGCCGAGGCTACATCATCGCCGAAAACCGTCAGATTGGCCTGGGGCGCCGGCTGCGGGTTATAGCGTTTGTTACATGTGAGTGCAGAGTGTCCATGAGCTCTGCAAATTTGGCACCTAATCTGCCCACCTCCACGTCCACCGCCGCGTCCACCACGCCACTGGCCACCGCGGTTCCCTCTGTTGCCACGCCCTGAGTTGCCGCGCCGTCCACCGGAGCCACCCCCTGACTAGTGGCTGCCTTGTGCGACATAGAGTGCTGCGGGCAAACCAACTCCATTGAGGCCAGGCGATAGATCATCAGCAGCGATGAATTCCTGGGCCTGCAAGAAATCGGCGAGCTGGGGCAGTGACACTGGATTTCCAGAAACAGTCAGCGACGCCGCCATACTTCTGAACTCGGGGCGGAGGCCTCGAAAAACCCATAGGTTTTGCTCGTCCAACGATAGCGGCCGGCCGGCTAATGAGAGCGCTTCCACGATGATTTGCGCCTGGCCGATGTACTCGGCCGGAGACAGGTTCCCTTGTCGCAAGGATTGAAATTGTCCGAGGAGATTTAAGCACCGGGCTCGCGAGCTGGAACCCAGAGCAGCAGTGATTGAATCCCAAACCTCTTTGGACGTGTTCCGACCGACAGCGAGGTGAAGGACCTCGTCAGCCATGGAGGAAACCGGCAAGGAAAGAATCGAAGCATCTTGTCTTACCCAATTCTTGTAGTCTGGATTCGGCACATCAGTGGAAGTGGCCACGCTGGAGGAGGAGGCAGCCGGAGGAAGAGGCAGCGGCGGCCGGACTTGCGACTGTCGGAGATGGACAGGGTGTTTCTCCGGTGACAAATCCAAGTAATTCCTGGCTCCGGAGAAATGGGACCAATTGAGTGCGCCAGAACAAGAAATTGCGGGATGTAAGTTTAATCGACACAAAGTGATGTGCCGATGACAAGGGATTCGAAGTGGTGGTGGAACTCGGGTTGGAGGTGGTGATGGTTCTTTCCGACGAATTTGTCGACATTTTTGGGGTGAGGATAGAGAAAATAGGAGGATCGAACGTAAGGCGTAACTGATACCAGATGAGAAGAGTGATTCAAAATTCAATTAATCAGATAACTATTACAATATTAAAAGAGGTGTAAACAACGTAAACCTCTCCTAACTATTAGGCTTGACTAAACCACTAAACTAGAACCATACAAATAATAAGAGTTAATTTCAGTTTTGGTCCTATGATTATAGGGGTGTTGTCAATTTGAGTCAGCAACTTTCAAAATTAATAATTTAGTATCCTAACTATTCAAATTTTATCAATTTTAGTCATTACGGTCAAATTGCCGACTAATTTTTGACTAATTGTCACCAATTTTTATCAACATCCCACTTGTCTATGTATTAATTCAAACAATGGTTCACAAATTAGCTTCAATTTTAACACTCAAGTAAAAGATTATGACGACAATTTCGTAAGACTAACTAAAATTGATAAAAATTAAATAGTTAGGGTACTAAATTGTTAATTTTGAAAGTTGTGGACTCAAATTGACAATACCCCAATAGTCATAGGACCAAAAGTGAAATTAACTCCAAATAATAACATTATTAAATGACTAATAACATAACATTATTAACAAAGGTTAAGAAAGGATTAAGCCTCCATAGAGATGAGGTAGCGATCCTTTGATTTTCAGCTTCACATTTTGAATATATGTTACTTAAGGATGAGCAATCTAAACAAATGCTACATCTAAAAAATAATAGAAAGAGAATCTTAGGATTCTAACTTAAGCTCATCCTAGGTTCAACAAGGCTCGACACAAGCTCAACCTAGATTCATCCTAGGCTCGACAAGGCTTTGATACCAACTGTAACGCTCCAAATTCTAATTACAGAAAACTAGAGAGTAAAGGAAAATATTTCTCAAAAATGCGGAAGCTAAACCGTCAGCACGGGGTTTTATGCCACATTTGGGCCAACCAAAACACAATGCTTAGGCTACAAGGTTCTATCTACAATCCAATTACAAGGTACATTAATCCAACTATGAAAAACATCAAAAGGTCTATCTAATACAAAGGATATGGTTGCACAAACCTTTTATGAAGCTCTTTTGAAAACATGACGATGGGGAGCCGTAGGGGGTTCTCTATCATCCCTTCGTAGTTGTCGTAGTCGACCCTTATCTCTTTATTGAACCAATCGTCACTTACAACCTCATCCATACGGACTTTGCAGAAGCACGAAGCCGACGAGATAGCTTTTGCGAATGAATGTTTGGAGGTACAAAACTTCTTGAACGTGCGTGAGGACTCTCCCTCCGGCGGTCGGCCAGCCGTCGGCAGTTACCCAGTCGGGCTTTGCATGGAAAAGGAAACAGTGGGAACCTCGGATCACGTCAACTTACCAAAACAGGGGCAACGATCGAGAGGATTCTAGAGAGAAGATTTTCTCATCACTACTGATAAGCCATTGAACCTTAAAAAAAAATTATGTATAAGAATGTTTTGACTTGACAACTTTAAAATAAAAAACAGAATTCCAAAACTTTGATTGAAAAATGCAACTCACCGCACTGCTTTCAATTTCATCATGGATGAACAAAAATGCTAAGAAAAATTTAGTTATCAAATACCAACTTTACTTGTTTGATCAACTCAAATTAATAAACGCATCAAATCACTGAAAGCTATTAATCTCTTCCAAAAAATAAAAAGCTATTAAAAATAATGTACTTAATTTAGATTTTGATAATGCCATCAATAATATACAAGCTAAGTTAGGGACATTAGAACCCCAAAATTCTATTGTAATTCTTATTCTATTAGATTAATGCGTAACCGTCAAAACAAGGCATGCATAGACTTCCTAATTAATGTATAACCAGTAGATCTTGACCATAATATATACCCGGTCTCTAAAGATCTTCAGAAAATTAAACTAAATGGTTTTCAACAATTTTTTGGAGCGTTTAATTTGTAGCAATCCATGCAAGGCGATTGCAACAATGAAGTCAAGGTGGATCCTTGAGATGTTTGTAGAGCTTTTGTTCTCAATTCACAGAGCTAGGTCAAGATTGGGTCGTTACTAGAAAAACATGATTACTTTTTTTTTTTTTTTGATTTGTGAGTATCATCATCATCTTATACTCTTTTTAAAATGTTGGTGGCTAATAGATTGAGCATCACTGGGTTGTGGGTCCGGTAGGCGTTGTAAGAGGTTCATTTCCAAACTACATAAACAGATACTTGTTTCATTATTGTTTACTCTTCTACTTTACATTTTGTAATACCATCACATACAACCTATTATAATAATATGTGATACAACATTCCTAACTTCAAAACCATTATTCTTGACAATTTGAATTTCACTAAGCTAATTCAAGAAACCGCAAGTTACAAAAATTACAAATGGTTACTTATGTATAATATTTGGACAATAGTATACTATATGTTGTGTTCTACTTACGTTACAAGTTGAATCTATTATCGAGAATATAAATTATTATTGTCTTATTAAGACATATGAGATTATGACAAACATTGTGAGGTATTATTATTATTATTATTATTATTATTTTTGTTATATGGAATTTGTGTCGACTGTTTGTTACTTCCCTATATTCGTTTGTCTTTCGAAAGATTCAATCGGCTGTCGGAACGTAAAGTAGTATCTATGTCGTCACGTTTGTTATAAGCTGGCAATTAACCTAGTTGAGCTCAGTTTTTGGTTAGTTATTAACGTAAATCTATGCATGAAAAATGGTATTTCATTGGTATTTATTAACTTATTTTGCATTTCAGTTGAATCTTAAGGCAACTTGATTTTAGATTCTCACAGCATAATAAAGAGATTAATGGATACTAAAAAGCAGTATGTGATTCATAATTCTAAATAAAATAATATATTGTGCCAAACGTTTTAGCTTGTAGCGAATTTGTAACTTTATTTTCTTATACTAACAAGCAGTGAGCGTAACGTTTCAATAACAAGATGCTGATGAACTTGATCGACGCTCAACATTCCCCTCCCAACACCTACTACCTGTGATATGCTTTAATATTAATTGTCAAATCAAGCACTTAATTAATTACCACTATATCAAAAATTATAACTTGTAGCGAATGTGTAACTTTAATATCAAAAGCACATTTTGATGGCAAGATGCTAGATTCTATCAATGTCGAACCGTCCTCCTCCCAACACCTACTACGCATGCCAGGACCTGATCTGGTACATATTGTCAAATCAAATATTTACCACTACGTCAAAATTTATAACTAGTAATGAAGGCACAATTTTAAATTTTTTTTTTATGCTTGCGTAATAATCAACGCCAAATTTCAACCATGGTTGGATGCTAGCTAGAATTGCTAGACTCAGCACACCGTACCCAGGGCCGGTGTTTAAATTTTTGTGGCCCTGTTCTTGTAAATAAATGAGGCCCCACTAAAATCACAATCTTTAAAATCAATACCGCAGCCAATTTGGGGCCCCTCTAAAATTTGGGGCCCTGTGCGGTAGCCCAGCTTGCACAGTCTAAAATCCGGCCCTGACCGTACCAAACCGATGCTTAACAAAATAATAATAAAATACCACAATTTTATTGCTGGTACACCTAGTATAATATTAATAACTTTACATACAAGTGTTTATAATATAATATATATATATAACAGTATAAGTCTAAATTAATGTGTATTCGTCTCAAAACTTATAGTTTAGATAGAAGTATCAAATATACATGATCGATCATAAGTACTTAAAACCTTTCAATTTAATGGTTCAGTCTCAAACTTTTTATACGAAGCCACAAGATTAATCCTCATTTAACTAGATATAAACAGAAAAAGTGCTATGTTAGTAGTCAATACAAAATAAAAATTCTTATAATTATATTTTTTATAAACCAGAAGATACAATAGAAAAGAAACCTCAAATTGAAAGAACCCGACCTCTGGTCTGTAGATGAGGGATCGGATAAAATACTATATATGTAACTCCATAAGATCGAGGATAATCAAATGCCTTGTACCTCAAGCCAAGTGGAGTGACATGTTAGCAACACATGTCTTATTTTTGTTCTACTTTTATTGTTACATCAGGAGAATTATATTTTTATCGTATATTCATAAGGACATGTAACATGTCTTTTAGTGACGAGGAAAGTTTATCGTCACGACTCGAGGGTGTGCAGTTCAGTGAAATAATCGCGGGACAGCGGAACAATCCACATCACGGCTGATGGTGAACGGAATGTTGGCGCCGCACTGGTCGGGAATGCTGGCGGCGCGGGCGAGTTGCTCGTCGCTGATGAAGGTGGCAAGGGACTTCAAACAGGAGCAGGCGGTCTGGCGATCTGGCTGGGTCGCGGCGGCGCTGAGCAGCGAATTCAGGCCGTCGCAGCAGTCGGACGACGGCCCATTGCCGATGCCGGCGATGACGTAGGGGACGCATGGGCCCAGGTCGGAGTTCACGGTGTCGCACGTGACCTGCGCCTCCACACTTCCTCCGGCGACGAAGAGGAGGACCAACACGGTTAGGTACAGTTTTGCAGATATGGCCATGGCGGTGTATTATTGGCTACTTGTGTGTTTGTGTAGGTGTTTTTCTTCAGTGAAGCTACCAATTATTTATAATACTTCGCCATTCTGTCCGTATGTGCACGTATACATGTGTGTATTGTTTTTTCCATCAGTTTAATACATGTCTGTCTGTTTGTCCATGTTATATATATATATATATATATATATATATATATATATATATATATATATATATATATATATATATATATAATCCATAAATCTAATTTTTGTTGATTCGAGATTCAACATTAAATTGTACATTTTTAAGTATAATTAAAGAGTCTAACCCAAATTTAAATCCAAACTCAAACTAAACCTTCAATGCATGTGGCAAGAATCAAGAATGGGACTTCTCATTCAGTAAACCAATACTTTGGGACCATATATATAATTTTTCACTGCACTATATGGATGAGCAAAATATTATAGACACTGAATCCATCTTACAATATGGATTCTGTCGTGGTAACTCCACTCAAGATGTTCAAGGATATAGAATTGTAATCACAAGGTCATGATGAGTTCAAATCAATAATAGACAACTTAGGTTGGTTTACTTCCATGTGATCCTTTGCTGATTAGGATAGTATCACAAAAAAAAAAAAATTTATTAACTAAATACACATAATTAATATATTAAGTACATAATTTATTAACTAAATACACATAATTAATATATTAAGTGCAGACACATAATATAACGTTGACCCTAGTTCATGGTACAACAATTGGTATAGTGGGGTTCTATGACTTCTATCCAGGATTTGATCATTATATTATTACGGAATCTATGCACAATGTCTCAAACCTGCAATTAGAATCATGCAGCTATATGTTATCAAATATAACAAATCTTTGCCAATAATTAACTTTGTTTGCAAAGGAAGATAGCAAGAGAACCTTATATTCTTTGCCGTACGGAGAATGATCTTCTCCCTCGGCCCCTCCACTTCCAGCAAGAGAACCTTATTATTATTGTTTAATTTGTTCACTGCATATCCCACGGTATAACCAATACACCCTTTTTAATCGATTTGGCTAAATCTACGACAGTAAACGCCACACTACCACCTAATATTTCTATAAATATCTATATAATAATAATATATTAAGGCAAATTAAAGTGTACTATTCTGTATGTGATTAAAGTGTTGTAAAAAATAGTTTAAAATGGCATAAAATGGCATGTTAAGTGGCTATTTTGTGGTACAATTATAAGTGGGGTCCACTTTCGATTTGGGTCGGGTTAAAGTGGATTCGGATTCTTCGTAGTGAGACGAAGAGATCGATATATTGTACGCTCAAAACGGATAATGGGTGAATGAGATATTGATTCTCAAAGTAGACCCATTTGAGTTGGAAAATGAAGGGAAAAAGTGTGCTTTTGTCCCACATTGCTTTGGAATGAAGATTTTCCCCCCTTATATACAAGAGCTCTTTTGAAGCTTGTAGAATTGTATAGCATAGAGGCTCTCTCGCGCGGGGGGATGGGGGGTGCAAATCAAATTCCAACTAGCAGAGATTGGAAAAGGCTTGATTCAAGCCCGAGCGCCGGCACTTGGGGGCACGAATGTCGTCCAGAAATTGGCTGGCCTTGCGGGGACAACTCTCGTGCAACAGAGTCCACGAGAGGTTGGGGGCACGAATGTCGTCCAGAAATTGGCTGGCCTTGCGGGGACAACTCTCGTGCAACAGAGTCCACGAGAGGTGAGACCGAACCCTGTACGCTATAAACGGTCAGGAACCCGAAAGTTTTGACTGTTGAGGGGACTGAATTCATCTGTTACGGAATTAATTGTCTATTAATTCCAATTTTGAATTCTGAATTCAATTCCCAGGTAGTGGCCTGCTGTTATAGCTGTTGGAAGGCAGCTTTAATGTCATTTTTAATTGCCATAATAAAGGCTATTGGCTCCTTCAACCCTATATAAGAGAGGGTAGAGGCAGTAGAGTTTTACACACACAGAAAACATAGAACACGAAAGTTCGTTTTTTCAGCTTCAAAACCTCTCTGCTTCTACTCTTTCTTGGCCTACTGTGTTCATAGCCATTGTCTTGCTCGCCGGATTCCTTGTTTGAGTGCTCAAACATTGAATCATTAGCAAGTTTTATCCTGGGAAGCCTAGGCCACAACGATCCTAGCATCTTTGGGAGGTGGCAAATAAGGTTTTAAGGAAAGAGTGCTCACTTGACTCTTGCAAAAACCCAACACCAAACACTAGCCACTTTTCTTCATCTTTTCTTTCCTTCTTTTCAAAAAATAATAATCTTATTTTTTAATTATTATTTGTGTTTTCTACCAACGGTACCAACATAAAGTCCTTATCAAGATAGGGATTGCAAGGTTATTATATATATTTGTATACAGGGAATCTATCTAATTAATGTGTCCATTAGATAGTTATCTATTATGACATATGAGCATCTATATATAGTTTGGTTTGCATGTTTTTAGCGAACACTGTTGGAAATCATCGAAGAGAAAAGTTAGCAATGAAGAACAAAAGGACTTGATGGAAGCTAAGTACTATGTTGTGAAGGACTATGGGAAGAGGAGAACGGATGAGTAATGAAGTAACTAGTTTTGTGATCATTGATCAAGTTTTGTGAAAGGGCTGTGCCTGGATAGTTATGACATGGATTGGGGTCTACCTTAAGAGGTGGATTCAGGTTATATTAACAATCTTTGAACTTTATATTCACAATTTTAGAACTGAATATTCACAACCAAAAATCTTTTTGAATGCTACTCGCTCGAACTCACAATCTTCCAAATGGAAGTCCAACTCGGGTACCACAACCAAAAATATTATATTATTGAAAACAATTCAGCGAGTAGATATTCAGTTCTATAATTATGCATATAGAGTTCTTTAATGGCCCGTTTGGTTCACGGAATAGGCCGAGAATGACATAACATTCCCAGTAATAGGCCTATTCCGTTGTTTGGTAACCATTTCTATTACCAGGAATAATATTCCTGGTAATAGCCTATTACCTCAAATAAGGTAATAGCTATTACTAGGGCCCCCCCTGGTATTAGCCTATTACTGAGCGCTCAGGAATAGATTTTAGAATTTATTTCCTTTTTTATCCCTTTCTTTAACCTAATTTTTTTTATCATATATATAAATTTATCCTATTTCACCACCGTCGTCGCCGCCACCACCATCACCGCCGCCGCCACCACCACCATCGTCGCCGTCGCCACTACCACCATCGTCGCCGCCGCCACCATCACCGCCGCCGCCACCACCACCATCGCCGCCGCCGCCACCACCACCACCACCACCACCATCGCCGCCGCCACCAGAACCACCACACATCGTCACCACCGCCACCACCACCATCGCCACAACAGTCACCGTCACCGCCCCCACCACTGTCACCGCCGCCACCACCACTACCACCACCGCAACCGCCGCCACCACCATCGTCACCATCGCCACCACCGCCACCAGAACCACCACACATCGTCACCACCGCCACCACCACCGTCACCATCGCCACCATCACATATTTTTATAAGGGTATTTATGTCTTTTAAAACATATTTCATTTCTATTCCTTAAATCAACCAAACACTGTAATATAATTCCTAAAGTCTATTCCTCCCGCGAACCAAACAATAGAATACAAATCCTATTCTATTCCTTGCCTATTCTATTCCTTTTGGAATAGCATTCCTATTACCTCAAAATTCATTCTGTGAACCAAAGGTGCTGTAATTGTGGATATAGAGTTATGAAATTGTGAATATAGAATTATGAAATTGTGAATATATAGAGTTCAAAAATTGTGAATAGAGTTATGCAATTGTGAATATTGAATTCTTGAATTTTGTGTATTGAGATCTAAAATTGTGAATATTCAATTCTAATATTGTGAATATAGAGTTCAAAAATTGTGAATATAACACGGGTCCACCTTGCAAGGTGAACATGGGTCCACAACATAATTTTTTGCTGTACCACTTGGTAAATTATACTGTGAAACATATATGGTCCACAGAGTATTGTGGACCATGGTCCAAAACGGTGCCCTTTTTTATTGAAAAAAATAAAAATAAAAATAAAAAAAATAACGGTACCCGTTCCGCGTAAGTAGTTCTATTTGTATAACATATTTAGTTTCATTCTATATACATTGTAGTTTCATTTCAGTACAACTACACTTTCATTCAACATTATACATACAATAGTCTTATTACAATGAGACATGTTATTGAATTTCATTTTATACACATTGTAGTCTTATTACAACACTATTAAATTATAGTTCTAATTCAACTACAGTTTCATTGGACAGTATAATTCCAAATATGTGAAACTGTTATTCACTTTCATTTTAATTATATACACTGTACTATAGTTTCTTTACAACACAACTACCGTTTCATTTTGATATAACTACAGTTTCATTGGACAATATACACTCAAATATGTGAAACTGTTATTCAGTTTTATTTTATATACACTGTAGTTTCATTACAACACAACTACAATATCATTTCTATTCAACTACAATTCTATTTGACAATATACACTCAATATGTGCGACATATTATTCATTTTCATTTTATACATACTGCAGTTTCATTTCAACACAACTGAAATTTCATTTCAATTCAATTACAGTTTCATTTAATAATATAAACACAATATGCGAGACCGTTTCATTCATTTTAAATACACTGTATTTTCATTTTGTTATGAACACACAAAAAAATACGAGATCTGTTAAAATGTAATGATTATCATTTCTTTACTTAAACAAACAGCACCATTTTTGAACCATGGTCTACAAAAGCTCTGTGGACCATGGTTTACAGTATAACAATCGGTACCACTACACAGCATTTTTGTAATAAAAATACTTAGTGGTTTCATCTTATCTTAGGGAATAAAGAGGAGTAAATCTAAAAACATAATAAGTCTCAATTAAAGTTATATCCCTCATTTATGTCCATATTTTTAATGCTAATCATTTTGTACATTGTGCTTTTAGAGTTGTACTATATAATTTTTTGGAGAAAAATACCACTACCGTTATAACTTCCGTTATCTTTTCCATCATTGTTACCATGCACATGCATCCACCATATATTCTCTTATATTTTTTAATGATAATAATATTTGTAGACATTATATATTGAATTATTATAACAAATAAATTTGATTTCATATAAGTTTTAATTAGTAGGGATTTGTTAGTTATTTTTAAAAAATATAAATATTGGGCATATATTTTTGCGCATCGCACATATAAAAAACTAGTTATTATTAGAGGATTATACGACCCAATAAATCATTATAAAAATCTCTACTTTCTACTCGTTTTTTTTTTTTTTTTTTTGAAAACTACTTTCTACTCCTTTATTTTGGGTTTATATTATTCTTACGATCCATACCATATCACACACGGACACACTTTCTATAAATCTTTAAATCTTAAGCTAATTTTATTTTTTTCACAAACAAGACAATCAAAATACTTCTATTACACATTCTTGTGCTAATTTATTAAAAACTAGAGGGAAAAAAGTTTATAAGTCTATTTACCCCTTTATTCTCTAAACTTTTAATTTGTCTAGAACCAAGCTAGATGTTAGAAGCCTATTAGAAAAAGTTGGAGATGCAATGATTTTCTTGTGCGTATTAGAAAAAGCTGGTGGTTGTTGTTGATCCAATCCTTGAGGTCCTCCGACCCTTGCCGGTTCCCGTTGATTCGATTCCTGAGGTCCCATCCGACCCCATGGGTAGGGTTTGTCGACTAGCCGCGGCCCTATTGGGGTTGTTGGTATGGGAGAGGTTACGGGTGTTGCGTGAATCATGGGAATTGTGGGTGTTTGATCCGATCTTGTCGTAGCTAGGGATAAATAGCACGCTCGAGCCTGACGTCGAGCTGTCAATGAGAGCACCAATGATGGATTATATTAACCCGGGGGTCCGAGTTAATTAACCTGATTAAATGAACGAATTATGACAAGTACGGATTAAATGAATAGAAGATGATGTAACGAAATAAAGGGACGAAATGTGTACCAATATAAGTCACGGGGACAAATATTGTATTAATTGCCTATGAAATGCTATTACAAAGATTCAGATAATGTAATAACAAGACAAATTGTGGATTAGGACAGATTGTGTCTCAATAGGACAAGGATGAAGGTTTTTATACCCAACTTCGCCATAACAACCCTGGAGGAAATGGTGGGAAGTCATCTCAACCGCCTTGGACCGCAACACACGCCGCGAGACTCGGACAACGCGGAGACCCAACCGCTTGGCGAGCACGGAGCTCGGCCAAGTGGCCGACCCCGGGGTGGGCGACCTCAGGGTAGCCGACTACACCATGGCCTACCTCGACCATGGTCTGGGTCCGATGCTTCTGGCTTTATCCGCTTCATATTATTCCGTTCCGGGTCCATATGCAATTATTCCATCATCTAAATAAGTATTATGTTATAATTACTTATGGATAGCTTATCTCATAACGTAAAAATTATAAAAACCTTTTTTACTATTCAAAATATATGCAAGAATGAAAATTTATCGTTCTAATGATTTTAATGTCATAAAAAGAAACGAGAAATTATAGAAGCTAAGTGTTAATAATTAATTAAAGTCCTATTAACTTTTGTGTTTCAATAGATTGAAAAAGTAGCTATGAAGCATTTGTAACAGAGTCTATGAAGCATTTGTAACAGAGTCAGTAGTGCTAAAAAAAATTCAAGTCCGACAACAAGAGGATAATGAAAAATAATAATAAATTCCTAATAGATCTCTAGAAGTAGCTATTTTACCCATTCGTTTAGAAATTGTTGCAATA